GTCATTCAGTTGCCCAGACTGGGCTTAACTGCTGCCTCATTCTCCCCAAGCTAATATGACAAAAACAAAAGCTTGTGGGAGATTCAGAAAACTTACTTAAATAAACATGTCTAAAATAAAAATGCTTTCTTTCAGAGACCCTTTAAAGTGGAGAGCTGTGATTGGAACCAATAATCTACACAGGAGGTATTCCCATGCCAGGAAGATAAAAATTACAGCAATCATTATCCATCCAGACTTCATTTTCGAAAATTACGTGAATGATATCGCACTCTTCTATTTAAAAAAAGCCGTGACGTATAATGACTATATTCAGCCTATTTGTCTGCCTTTTGATGTTTTCCAAAAACTGAATGAAAACACAGCGTGTTTTATAAGTGGCTGGGGGAGAACAAAAGAAGAAGGTAATCATAGTCTGAATTTTACTGATATACACATTCCTGCTTATTGGCAAAGGATGTGCTTTTATGTACAAATATTCTTTTATTTAAAACATTCATCTATTTATCTTCTGTGCCAGGGGTCGAGTCCGGAGCTTTTTGCATGCAGGGCAAATGCTCACCACTGAGCTCCTTCCCCAGCCCTATTTTACGTGTTTGTTCCTTCTGTCGCGAGTGTGAAATACAGATCATCATAAACTGGCAAAAAGGAAATTTTTTTGGTCTGTATTTTCCTCCTTGTGTGAGGGAGAGAAATTCTCTCCCAAAGCAGAAGCACAGATTTTCTCGGCTTATGTTCGCCAAGATAAGTTAGTTGTCTGCTACTCAAGCTGCTGAGTCAGTGCTTGCAGCTTTTGCTGAGGTGGCCACACCTGGAATCTCAGCTCCTCAGGAGGCTGAGGCAGGAGGATCACATGTTTGAATTCAGCCTGGATCTCTTAACCAGATCCCGTCTTAGAATTTAAAAATAAGAACATTTAGGTGTGCAGCTCGGGACCCTGGGCTCTCCCGCACTATACACACATCTTCTGGCCCATTTCCTTTTCTTTTTATTTTTTAAAATTTATTTATTTAGTATTACAAAGGTTGACTGCCATGTATTTTCTTAGTCCACAAAGGTGCTAAATGTTGATTCTGAACTATTGGGAGTAATAAAAGCATAGGACACAGTCTCTGCCTTTGGTAATAGCAACAGGTACCTCTGGGAGCCTTTGCGTGTTTCAGGCCCTATTTTAAATATATCCTTTATTGTAGGTTATCTTCCCAGTATTCCTGCTGGGGGTTGTTGTTATCGTTTGCGTAGTTTCCCATTCAACAGACTAGGAATTAAAGATCGTAGATGTTAAGAAGTGGGGAGTTGGCTGGGCACAGTGATGCACTTGTGTAATCCCAGCACTCTGGGAGGCTGAGGCAGGAGGATTGCAAATTCAAGCACAGCCTGGATAATTTAGAGAGACCTCGCCTAAAAATACAAAAGTGAGGACTCAAATCCAAGTTTTTGCAGTTCTAAAGCCTGAATATTTAACTACTACATCAAACTGTCCTTAGGGCCAGGGATGTAGCTCAGCAGCACAGTGCCTGCCTGGCAAGCATGAGGCCCTGAGTTCAATTCGGGTACCAAAACAGAAAATAGTTTAAAAAAAAAAAAAAAAAAAGACCAAACTGTACTTGAGGGAATCATAGTCCAGTTTAGGAAAATGTGAGATGAAGTATGGAGACTTTTTCCCTAGCTATTTAAATATTTGTGGACTGTTTACAGACAGAATAGACATAAATGTACTAAACGTCTGTGACTTACTCTTTTTCTTCTCATCTGTGAACACTTGCAAGAAATCAAAAGCACAAGGCCTTTGGGCCACATTTAGTGGACTCTGTTTCAAAAATAAAAGGCGCTGGGTTAGTGTTAGTGCGCTTGAGATGTTCCACACATGCAGATCACAGAGACGGAAAGTACATTAATGGTTGGTAACAGTAGGGGAGGACTGGGGAAGTGGGCAGTTAATATATGATAGAGAAATAAATAAAAGTGTACATAGCTGTTAATTAGTCACACTGGGAAGAAAGCCAATTAAATACCACTTGGGCGGTTTTGTTTGTTTTTTGAGACAGAGTCTCAATATGTAGTCCAGGCTGGCCTCAAACTCCCAGTGATCCTCCTGCCTCAGCCTCCCAAATGCTGGGATTATAGGCGTGCACCACCACACCTGGTGTAAACATCAGCATTTGAATTTTTTAATTTTCTTTAGTTTTGGGGTACTGGGAATTGAACTCAGGACCTTGCGCTTTCAAGCAGGGCACTGTGCTGCTGAGTTCTGTCCCTGGCCCAACACCAGCATTTTAAATCACTGTAAAAATGCCTGCTTTAACATATCTGACTTGCTTTTTGCTCTTCACAGGCAATGGCACACACCTTTTACAAGAGGCAGAAGTGCATTATATTTCTCGGCAGATTTGTAACTCTGACCAGGGCTATGCGGGAGTGATTCCTAAGACTTCATTTTGTGCAGGCGATGAAAATGGAGACTTCGATACTTGCAGGGTAAGGTCGAGGAATTTTTGCTTAAAGCCAGAAGGGAACTGGAACAAGAACTTTGGTTATTTCTGATGATCTTAGTTATCAGGACTAAATATACCAATTTACTTTTTCTCTAACTACATAATCCAAATCTTTGTTCTTGGTTCTTCAGTTTTTACTTTCATTGGGTTAGGCAAAACTTCTCTTGAATCTTTCTTTCCTTATTTATTTATTGAGTGAGTGAGACAGGATCTCACTGTGTAGCCCAGACTGGTCCCAAACTCACTGGCCTCAAACTCACAGCAATCCTCCTGCCTCAGCCTCCCCAGTGCTGGGATTATAGGTGTGTGCCACCACACCCGGCTCCTCCTTTTATTGGAGTCATACCTTTAAGATATAATGCACTCGTTTACAGTATAGAATTCAAATTTTTTAGTATATTTATGGACGTGTTCAGCAATCACCACAGTCTAATTTTAGGACATTTTTGTTTACCTCAAAAAGAACTCTCCCACCAAAGGAAACCCATACCTATTGGAAATCACTTCCCATTCTCCTCCCACCTACCCCAGCTCCAGCAACCACCAGGTTGCATATTCTGAACTGTTCTGGACTTTTCTGGAATAATTCAGTATGTGGTCTTTTGTAACTGGCTTCTTTCACTTAGTATGATTCTGTATTGCAGAATGTGTGAGTTCTCTATTCTTTTTTTTTTTTCTCTATTCATTTTATTGCCTTCTCATGCATCGCTGTATGGACCATTCACATTTTACACTTGATCTTAGCCAAAAGGCCGAGAAGCGATGGATCAGTCACATTTTATTCATCCTCTCATTAGTAGACGGTCATTCGGGCTGTTTTCATTCTGTGTCTGTTATAGAAAACATCGCTATGAACATTTGTGTTTGCTTTCGTGTGTACATGTCGTCATTCTCGTAGAAATTCCACCCGAGAATGAAATTCCCGCGTCTGTTGAACAGTTTGAGGAACTGGCAAGCTGTACCCAAAGTGGCGGCCCCATCTTGTAGTCCGCAAGCAGTGCTTGGCGGTTTCCTGCTATTGTCACCCTTTTGATGGCCGCCATCCTCGCGTGTGCCTCATCCTCGAAGCGGTGCCTCCCTGCGGTTTTATTTGTGTGCTACAATGACTAATAATGAATGTCTTCGTATGTGCTTACTAGCCGTTTGGATATCTTCCCTAGAGAGTGTCTCTTTGTATCCATTCCCCATGTTAAGATTATCTTTTATTATCTTTTTTTTTTTGGTCTTTTTGAGACAGGGTCTTGCTATGCAGTTCAGGCTGGACTTGAGCTCACTTTGTGGCCAAGGCTGGTCTCAAACTTGCAATGATCCTTCTGCCTCAGCCTCCCAAGTCCTGGGATTACAGGCATGTGCCACCTCGCCTGGCTCTATCTTTTTATTATCAAGATATCAACACTTTAAAAAATTTATTCTGGGTACATGTCCCTTACTATATATATGTCGTGCAAGTATTTTCTCCCATTTTGCAGAATGGCTTTTCACTTTTCTGCTGTTATCATTTATAGCATAAAAGTTTTAAATGTTTTAGGAAATTCAACTTAGTTTTTTTTTTGTGTTTTTTTTTGTTTTTTTGAGATGAGGTCTCACTATGCAGTTCAGGCCGGCCTGGAGCTCACTTTGTAGCCGAGGCTGGTCTCTAACTCGCAAGGATCCTCCTGCCTCAGCCTCCCGAGTGCTGAGATTACAGGCGTGGGCCACCACATCACTATGCAGTTCAGACGGGCATTGAGCTCACTTTGTAGCTCAGGCTGGTGTCGAACTCCCAACAATCCTGCTGCCTCAGCCTCCCAAGTGCTAGGATTACAGGTGTGCACCACCACGCCCTGCAGTTCTTTTCTCTTATCTGTTGGTTATCTTTTCTTTGCTCCTATGTTGGGAATGAACCCACGGATTCACACATGCCAAGCAAGCACCCGTGTGCTTTTTAACTCTTTTATTTCCCAGTACCAAGTCTACCAGCCTTTCAGTTCCAAGGGTAATACATGTTGTCGTCTTTCCTACTCGTCCCTATTTCTGCAGCCTAAGGTTTATCTTTCCTGTGTCCTTTGCCTTAAAATTCTAGATGAGTAAAATAGTAAAGAATACAGTCTAATTGAATTGCATTTCTAGGCAAAATATCTTGATCATCAAAAAATAAAGATTTAACATGTGCCTTCCACAGAGAGCTGCAAACCCTGAGAGGTGCACTCCGTAACCTTTAGGGACCAACACGTCTTTGCTTTCTGAAGGGTTATTAGCACTCCTTATGAACAGTTTGAGGTGCATTAATAACCCTGTTAAACTATAAAGGAGACTTACTATTTATACTAGTTAGAGTCTTCACAGTTTATTCTCATGTTCCTGCACTAGCCAAGGTCAGCACCTAAAAAGATGCCATCTTTTGCAAGACACCAATTTACTTGTGTCCTCTAGCTCGAGGAGACTGTGTATAAACACACTTGGAAGAACCCTTCCTACATCTTACAATTATGCCTTTCACACAGTATTAAGCAAGAAATACTCTAGTGAGCAGTTTTCCCAATATTTTGCGCACTTTTTAAATTACATTGTATTTTAAAAAACCAAGCAGCCGGGCACGGTGGCGCACGCCTGTAATCCCAGCACTCAGGAGGCTGAGGCAGGAGGATTATTGCGAGTTTGAGACCAGCCTGGGCTACAAAGTGAGCTCAAGGCCAGC